CCTAATAAAATTTTAAGCAATGAGTATTTAAAAATTTTAGCGTACAAATATGTACGCTTTACGGTTTAAGGGATAACAAGTTATAGTTCTAACTAAGCCCAACTTAATAAAGATCCACTATAACATGAGTAATTTATTTAAAATATTGCTAGTGGAATTTGAACTTGGTACCATAGTCAAGCTAGTTTGGGGGTACAACAACTCTACCACTTTGCTAAGTTGCTACATACTTTATTTGTTTTATATAAAAAAATATAATTATAAAATTTTAATAGTAATATAATTATATAGAGTTTTTTAATAAATATATTGCTAAAAAATAGTGCTTATAAGAAAAAAGTAATTATATAAAAAGTAACTGTAGAGGAGAATAGTTGTATAAGCTTTAATTAATTGAGATATTTGAAATTTTCTTATATTAATACTTTTATTTTTAAATCTAATCTAGATAATTATTCTAAGTTATATATGAAAATATTTAATAGTTTTACACTAGTTTAGAAGTAGCTTTGTTTAAATAGAGATAGTCTCTAAAAAAATTAAACTGTTACTAAATATATCTATAATGCATATTGTAATAATTTTAGTCTTATCTGTTTTACTAAATAAATAAACTAGTTACTGTAAATTGCTAGATACAAGATCTCCTATAATAGTAGACCACCATATAGTATACCCGAATGCGTATTATAAAATTTATATTAATTAAATATGGGGTTTTTTCAACTATCTGGATTGTTTATTATACAGTAAATACTCTTTAAAGTTTTCCTCTTAGTAATATAAACTCTTAGCTATATATTAGATCTGGGATCTATTATAGAATTTAAAATTGGTGGAATATAAAAAATCAGAGTTTTGTATCTAGCAATTTACAATATATATTTTAAATCTAAAGTTTTCTCTGATTCTTTGAAATAACAAATACAGTTATCTCTTTATATAATTATCTTCTATATAGTCACAAACTCTATACAATTACACCAAAATAAAATACTATTTTTTTTATATTAAAAATATTACTATATAGTCATAATTATATTATAATCATATTTATAACATAAAACAAAAAAAATAACTTACTCACCCAGTCTTTTATTTAAAAATTTTAAAATTTTTTATTAAAATTTTATTTTATAAAGCTATGACTTAGAAATACATAATAGAATTTAGTCAAATCTATAATGATAATGGTAAGAATTTTTGTTTTACTTCAATTTAAGCCCAGTTTTGTATATAAAAAATAATTTCAGTTTCAACTAGGTATAAGGCTAGATAGGTTGTTAGACTAATTAAATATAAATTATTATATATTATTACTTGTTTAGGGGAGTACCATTTATCATCTGATTTTTTGCTACTAAGTGGCTACCCCCCCTATCCCCACCTGATCATAAATGCTGCATTTTGATTGGCTAAAAAAAATTTTAAATTTTTAAAATTTGATATTTAATACTAAATAACTTTTGACTCAATGGTCTGTTTTGGATAATTTTATCACCAAAATATCCATCTTACTGAGATGGATAGTTTGGTAATAAAATCATCCAAAACGGACTGTTGGGTTTAAAGTTATCTAGTATTAAATATTAAAATTTTTTATACTTTTAATAATTTTAACCAATCAAAAGCTATTATTATATTAAGACCTGATATTTTTCTAACTCTCCCCTCACCCTAAAAATTAGGTGATAAATGATGCTCCCCTTATTATTATAGACTTCATTCAAATTATTAGTTTATTACTTTAAACTAGAGATACAATCTGTTATCTATTTTCTTTCTTTATAATAATTTTGTTATAAATTTATATTAGAATAACTTATAATTTTACCAAGATAGAAAAATTTAAAGAGCAGCAAAAATTTTTTATCATATTTTAGACTATACTTACAGACTAATTTAATATAAATATAAAGAAATAAATTATTTTAAATATATTAACTATATAATATAGAGTATTGCTAACTTTCACCCTAGGTGATATCACCTAGTTGCATAAAAACCAATTAGATTACTAGATCTTGTGTAACCAAACAAAGCGAAGAAAAGAAAAAATTTTAAAAAACTTTAATAACTCTAAATTTTATTATGAAAACTATATTTTAACTTCTAAGCAAAAGTTTTTAGCTTTGAATTTTATATATATAAATCCTTTTACTCAAACCCTAATCTAACTTTAGCTTATGCCTAACACTAATCTTAACTACATATAAATTTATTTTAATAAAAATTTTATAATACTAGGTGATATCACCATGGATGAAAATTAGTTAAAATCTATAATATAATATAAGTATTACTAACAATTTAAATATAGTTTATATTTAAATTATCAGGTTTTCTTTTGGTAATATTTATATAATTATTGCCAAATTAATAAAATAAGAAATTAAATTAAAAGTGAATAAGCACTATTATACAGCACTGACTTAAGTATCCCCCCTATATATAATACCCCTTACTATTTATAGTAAAGATCCATCTAAAATATCCGGATATAGCCATTTATTAAATTTTATAATTGGTTAATAATATGTACATTGTTATAATTATTGTACGTATATATATACATTCATAAAAAATTCACTTCACTTCATTTATATATAAAGCTTTTATGACAAAACTCTAACAAAAAATATAGAACTAACTATAAGATAAAAAAAAAAACTATTGTAAATTTATGAAACTAATACCCAATCATTTTTAACTATAGTTTTTTTTACTATAGATATTATCAATATCTTCCATTTTAACCCAAGCAGTTTCTTCGTTAGTAAGATCTATTAATTTAATATTATCTGCTAATTCAATATAATCATCATTTTCTATTTCATATTGCTAATTCATATTAAAATATTGACTACTAGAAATTCTACAACAGCTAAACGAATTTTTGATTAAATTAATATTAACACTATCCCATGCATTTCTTACCCACGTTGCCATCAAAGAGTAAGATGGTTGTTTAATTCTTCTAGCAGGTATAAATTCATGTATTTTATTAGCTATTCATTCAAGATACAGATTATGAAGTTTTGCTTTAAAGGAATGGTTTATCATAACATCTAATGGTTGAAGTTTACTTGT